CGTTCTTGGAACAAGGTCGTTGACCGGCCCTGGATCTCAGCTGTCTTTCACCAGCACTACCACCTCTTGCTCACCTGAGCCCTCACTTTTCCTCCCCGTCACCACCACCTCCTGCTCACCTGAACCCTCACCGTCCGTCTCCGTCGCTACCACCACCACCACCTGCCCAGTCGGGCCCTCGCTAACCCTCGCCGCCACCTTCAGCTCCTGCACAGGTACACCAAATTGGTTCTATGGAAAAATCACTCTCGTCTGGATCGCCACTCCAAGCAAATCAACCTTTTCTCTGCCCAACTCGACTCGTTTGTGGAGACAATTTTCACATTGCAGAGGCAACAAAAGTAATTCTGGACACCCTGACCCAACAGGGGCGCACTTTGCAAGCCCTGGTGACCCGCCTCCTTCTTTCTCCCGAGAAGGAGGATCCATCCCTCGCTCTCCCACTCCTCCCTCTCCAATATCCTCAACAGAATTTGCTACCTCCTCCGGAGCCCAGTCTATCCCCACCGACTCATCTCATACCGGAGGCAGTTCTCCCCTCTTCTTACAATGGAACATCCAGGGACTTAGACCTCGCCGGAGAGACCTTGCCCAGTTTGTGCTCTCCCATCAAGTAGATGTCGCTCTACTTCAGGAAACCATCACAGACGATGTTACTCCACTCCGCCTCTCTGGCTAAACTGTTTACACCCTGCCTCGGTACTGTGGGCAGGCTCGTGGCCTCCTCACCCTTGTGCGTAACACCATTCCATCTGTTCGTCTCCCTTCCCCTGACTCATATGGTCCCCCGTCTGAATTACTTTTTGTCTCCCTTACTCTTGGTGACCGGACCCTTCATGTAGTCAATGTTCATTTCAAGAGTGATTCTCTGGACCCCCAGGTTCTTCACGACCTCCATGATGGGGTTCCCACTATTGTTCTTGGCGACTTTAATGCCCGCCATCCCACTCTTACTCCAGATCATCCCACGCCATGTACCCTTAACGGATCACATCTCTCACAGTTTCTTAATGGGGATGATGATGTTCGCTTTCTTTGTCCTGACGATCCTACTCGCCTCCCCCATAGTTTCCTTGATGTTGGCTTACTATTGAACGGTCATACCTCCTTTCATCCTACCGTCTGCACCGAGCCTGCTCTGTATAGTGACCATCTTGCCGTTACTACCCATCACAGGCTCTCCTTCTCTGCCCCTACACCAGCTCCTTATCGATCCCCTCGCCTTCGTCTCACACAAGATGCCGTTCCTTCCTTTACCCAATACCTTTCTACCTGGGCGGATTCCTATGTTGTCCCTCAGTCCCTTGACTCTTACAGCGCTGATTTTACTGATGTCGTGTATGACTCTGTCAATCGCGCTACCCCTCCACGCCCTCCCCGTCACCCCAGAAGTGCCACCAACTACTGGTAACGTATCCCTGCCATGAGACATCTCCGGCAGGTAACCCATGATCTCCACTCTGCCATACGGAGTTCTTGCTCTCCAGAGGACTGGAAAGACTTAAAAAAACTGGTGCTCCTTTGCAACTCAGGAGCATCATCGGATTCGTGAGGCGGACTGGCTATCCTTCATGGGGTCTATCGTTCCCGTCGTCACCCACCCTGACCCCGCCTCCATTGCCTGCTCTTTAATGGAGGACTGGGCACGAGCTTCCTCCCCTGAGACACTTCCAGATCCGTTGCAGGAGGCAGTGCAGGCTCGGATCGATGCGTCTGAGCCTGTTGTTCGTGCTGCTCTTACCTCCCCTGCCCCCACTGATCATCCCATCACACAGTTCGAGCTTGACAGTGCTCGTCGCTCTATAAAAGACACCTCTCCTGGGGATGATCAGATAACCTACTCCGTCCTTAATTCCTGTACTAATAGTCCTAATGGCCCCTTGCTTGCTTTCTACAAAATGTCTTATAAACACGGGGTTCTCCCGTCTGACTGGAAAAGTGCCACTATTATCCCCATCCCTAAACCGGGAGATCCTGGGAAATATCGACCCATTAGTCTTACCTCCTGTGTTTGCGAGATGATGGAGAGGATACTTCATCGTCGCCTTCTTCACACCATAGGCGGCTTCCACAACTCCCTCAATAGTTTCATACAACATCGCAGCACAGCACACTCCATTGCTTCCCTTTATTGCAATCAGACTGCCCGCGTCTCCGTCTTCCTTGATATCAAGGGAGCCTTTAATACGGCTCAGCCTGCCCTCATTTTAGCTGAACTTGCGCGGTTCGGGATTAACGGGAGACTTCGATGGATCGCCTCTTACCTCACTGGACGCCAGGCCCGGGTTCGCGTTGAAGGCTCTATATCTCCTGTTCAAGAAATGAACCTCGGCACCCCTCAAGGTGGAGTCCTGAGTCCCACCTTGTTTTACACTCTCATACACTCCATTGCATCTCTCCCGTGGCCGACAGAAGTTGTCCACTCAGGATATGCCGACGATGTCCTCCTCCAAGCCCCTGACTACCTCAGCATGCAGGAAGCTCTTGATCTGGTCTCCAGAGTGTGTGATTCACTTGGTTACCTTCTTTCAACTGCGAAAACAAAAGCCATGCGGTACGGTCGTGTTGTACCTTCCCCCTTTTCTCTTATCAGGAACGCCCTTGGACTGGGTTAATGAGACAAAATACCTGGGTGTGTATGTAACTCGCACACGTTGTCAGATCCCTGAAGTCCACTATCTTCGAGACATATGCTTTCGGCGTCTCGCTCCCCTCTCTACCTTGGTGCCACCATCCCTGTACTTCTCACCATGTACAAGTCCTTTGTCCGTTCCTGTGTCGACTACGCAGCCCCTGCCCTCGTCAACATTAGTCGGACTGCTGTCAACCGTCTCGAAGTTATCCAGAGGTAAGCTGCTCTTATCACCCTTGGGGCTCCTCAGTGGACACGCTCTACTTCTCTATATACCGAACTTGGTCTTTCCTCCTTACAGGATCGTGTCCAGGATTTTTACCTAAAAACTACTGTTTCCATTCTACGGGATCCTTGGGGCATCTATGTCCAAGCCAACTTGACTCCTGCTGTCCGAGGCCGACTTCCACCTAGAAGACAGTGGCGAGGGTCACTCATCCGAGCCCTTCAGGAACACGACCTCCTGCCTGATATTGTTGTCACCCCTGCTGTTGGTTCGTCTCCTTCTCCCTGGCTGGATTTTTAACCTGAAGTGATTGCCCTCGGTGGACCGCTCCCCAAATCCCACGTGAACCCTGTTATTCTCTGCAAATACCACCTCTCCAGGATAGCCCACTGGTCCCCAGGTAGGGTCGTCCTCTACACTGATGGCTCTGTTGACCCCGCTACAGGTAGGGCCGGGGCTGGTGTCTTCATCTCCCGTCCTGATGCCCCTGAACCTTTCAAACTTTCTCTCAGAGTTTCTGACGGGGCATCTTCCACTCAGGCTGAACTGATAGCCCTCCTTGCTGCCCTTATCTCTGAGGAAGAAGCCGATGGTTTCTGCCCCTTGCTTGTCTGCTGCGATTCCGGGTCTGCTCTCGATGGGATCGCATTTGGATCAGGGGAAAATAAGGACCTCATCCTCCGAATAGAAGGGTTAACATCCACACTTCAGGATGCAGGCCGTCCTGTGACATTCCTATGGATACCCAGTCATGTCGGTATCTTGGGGAATGAGGCAGCAGATGGCCTTGCCAAGACTGGCTGTAACAAGGCCACACCTGACTACGTTGTTCCTCGAACACTTTTACAGCTTAGGACCCAAATTCGCCGCAAACAGAGAGAAGCTCGGGAAGCAGCCATCCCCTTGGACTCCCTGCCCACCTGGTACGATGTCCTCCATAAACTTCCTGACCTCTCGTATGTCTATGGGAAAGGGTCGCGGAAAAGGGACGTGATTGGTGCCCGTATCATCATTGGGTATGACTTTGCTTGGGAGATTGGTATCCCCACATCCCCTGAGCAACGCTCTTGTGCATTATGCAGAAGACCCGACAGCAGCACCCTTGTCCACTACCTCCTAAGATGTCCACACATACAACGCTTCCGTGACGCCTGCTGAACCACCACTCCACGACCCCCTGACGGAGACACGATGATCATCCCCATACTGGCCAGATATTATGTAAATAATATTGATGATGTGTTGAAGGAATATCCTTCCTTCCTTAGGTTTTAGTAAGCACCTTTGTAGTATTTACCTATACTTGTGACACTTGCCAGATGCTTCTGGTGTTATTGTACAGGGGTATCTAGTGACAGCACTAGGATCCCGCTTCTTTTATCAAGGAATAAATATTGAAATTGAAACTGAATTGAACTAGGATGCGTTAACTTGGGATCTGACACAATTATGGCAGATGGTATTTTCCAGAAGATTGTCTACCTTAACTTTGTCACGTAATGATTTTTAAGTGTACACATCTAGCTAAGGAAGAGTTTCAGTACAATTTTAAATCTAATTTTGGTCGTCATTTTTGTGCTTCAGCCTAAGTCAAACAGTTAGATGCATTCTTATATCTTCATCTAAGGCAGTGGTTCTTCACCTTTTTGAGTCACAGACCCCTTTGAGAATCTGGTGAAAGCTATGGACCCCCTCCCTAGAAAAATGCACATAAGTACATAAACACAACTTTGCATGCAATGAATATACTTTATTTTATTGAAAATTCATTGCCTCATACAGTGTATGACATACACAAAGTATGAATAAGGCAAACAATCTTAACAAAGAATTATGTTTCACACTTTTTTATGCAAAAATTAATGGCCACTCCATACAAAAATGAAATACAACCATCTTGTGCAAATTAAACAAAACAACTTTAATTCTGCTCAAAAGTTCATTTCAATGAGAAGGTTGTTGTTGTTTGGCTTGAATAAGAAGATGGAACTGTGGAGTGGTCTTTGACAAGGTAACACTCATGTCATCTTTGACATCCAATCGATTTTGACTTTTCGTTTTGATAGAAACAAGTGCTGAAAACCCTGACTCACAAAGGTATGTAGTAGAAAACGGAATCAGAGCACCCATAGCTCGCTTTACCAAACGAGGGTAGGCTTGTGTCAACGCACACCAGAATTCTCCAAGGCTCTTCGAGTTGAATTCATTTCGTATCCTTTCCTTTGTCTTCAGGTCAATGAGGTCATCTTTGGCAAGGTCTTCATCACTGATACAGTCTATGTCGGCAAGGAAAGGATTACGAATCCATGTTTCAACTTTAAGGTCACCTAAGCAAAAGTAACCTTTGAAAGAGTTCTGCAGAGTATCCAGATGTCTGCAAAATTCTGCCTGCAGAGAAATTGACAGGGCCTTGTCACTCTCGATTCCATCCTGCAGAAGCGCTTCCTCTAACATTGGAAAGTTTGCATAGTTGTCTGCCTCCAACCTCCTCTTCCACAGTGGCAGCTTGGCCAGAAAAGCTTGCAGTCTTTCAGCAGCACCCATAATGGTGACTCCAGGGCCTTGAATCGCAAGATTCACCTCATTCATATGGCCAAAAATATCCGCCAAGTAGGCCAAGCCATGAATGAACTCCTCACTGTCAAACTGTTCTGAGAGTCGGCTTTCTTTTTCTCTCAAAAAAAGTGAAACTTCTGCTCGAAGTTCAATCAAGCGCTTCAAGATTTGTCCTCTGGAAAGCCAGCGAACTGTGTGGTAGAGAAGAACTTCATATTCTGCTCCCATTTCTTGACAAAACCTCTTGAAAACGCGATGGTTCACAGCCCTGGCTCTGATGAAGTTGACGACTTTCACGCCAGTAGACAAGACTTCTTTCAGAATTGCTGGCAGAGTCTTTGACGCCAATGCATGCCGATGTAGAAAACAATGGGTCACGATGACCTGAGGAGCTTCTTTCTTCACCAAAGCAGCAAAACCAGATGTGTTGTAAAGCATCGCAGGTGCTCCGTCTGTACACAGAGTACCAAGATTTTTCTTCCAGTCGAAGTTTTGCTTGGAAAAGAAACTATTCACCATTTCTAAGATGTCGATGGCCTTTGTAGTTTCCAAAAGGGGATCACAAAATAGGAATTCTTCTTTGATGGCATTAACATGCATATAACGGACGAAAACCAGGAGCTGGCTGCACTAAGAGACGTCAGTAGTTTCATCCAGTTGCATGCTGAACGGAAATGGCGTAGCTGCCAATTCTTCCATTACTTGCTTCAGAATATTAGAAGAAATGTCAACAATTCTAGAGTGGGTGACGTCATTTGACAAAGGCACTGCTGCAATTTTCTTCCTCTGCTCCAAGCCACAAACCAGCTCGACCATTTCCAGGGCACATGGCTTTACCAAGGTCTCTCCAATCGTATGTGGCTTATTTTGCTTGGCAATGCGATAAGGAACCTTGTAGGATGCTTCAAGACAAGGCTTTTGTGTTGGGGCAATTCCAAGTTTTGGTAAAGTTCCAGCTTTCTCCAATCGAGCCTTCTTTGCACGAAATAGATCAACTGTCCGATGCATTTTCAGGATGGACAGACGTGAGGTGCTTCAGCTTTGTTGGCTTCATGCTTTCATTGGCAAGAACCTTGCCACACAGGAAACACTGCGGCTTTTGTGTTCCATCACGTTCAGCGATGAAAGTAAAACCAAAGGATAAGTAAGCTTTGCTGTACTTCCTTTTCTTTGACATTTCCAAATTGAGCTAGGCCTGCAAAACAAAAAAAAATTATGAAATTTATATGGAAAGCAGTAACTAATGAACACAAATTAATAAGCACGACAGATCGACCGACAGAAAGACAGATCGACAGATAGACAGGCAGACAGACAGACCGACTGACGGACAAACCTTCACAGACAGACAGAGAGACAGACCGATAACCCTATTTTCAGTAGCATTATTACTTATTTCTCAAGATTCCCCTCAGAAAATATATGAATGATACTGACTGATGACTTCGTGTTTTCCTACCTTACTGACGCACCCAGACCCTAACTTTATCCACTCTCTCTCTATTTATGCATCCCTACTCTAACTACGTGCACCCAGTCCCTAACTTTGACCAATTAATAATAACAGACTTGTTGTAAATAATGGATAAAACAAATAAATACAGCGCACCAACCGTTCTAGGTTTTTCACAACACTCGCACGCGCCTTTCTCCATATGCATCCACATACGCACAAACACATATTCACACACTGTACACCCATCACTCTTCAGCCACACTCTGAAATTGTGGTCAGAAGGCGGTCGGAGGTCTCCAACCTCGGCTGGTACAGCTGTAGTAATAATAACTAAGGCCCTCTTTCACTACCTTCACCAAAAACATAACCATAGGTAATTGAATATATTTAGGAAAAAGTATGTATTTGAAGATACTATGGCCCTCAGTTAAGCCTTACCAGTATATGAGAAGATTCCCAAGCCGTGATAAACCGTGGAAAATGAGAAATAAGCACTTAATGTGGAGTGGCTCAAGATGGCGGTTGTGCAGAGAACGATGCTACCAATTTAAATCGTAAACATGGGCCACCAGAGACGCTTAGCGGTCAGCGCTATATGCAGAGGCAGGGTACGTTTTCTTTAATTTCTTTCAATGGGGAACCATTCTAGAAATCAAAACCTGACGACGATGACGATTGTATGTTACCTGACCATGTACAGTAGCATCCCATGCCACCCTACAGATTTACTGGTTTTCTTCAGTAACCAAAAATACATACATAACATCTGGTATATATTGACAAAAATAGAACAACTTAATATAAAAATATAGTGAATATAAATGTTAAATTTTTATCTGACCTTCATGGACCCTCTGAAGCTCATCCATGGACCCCGGGGTTCCAGGACCCAGGTTAAGAACCCCTGATTCTAAGGAATAATAATTGCAAGAACCTGTGAAAATCGATATTTTTTCTCACCATAGTTATTGATAACCTACAATACGGTGCGTAATGATTGGATTTACGGTGCTTGTGGTGTGTGAACGGATGAACACTGCATAAAAAATAACAAGACTAGCAAACAAGTGTTTATGAGATCAGCGAGAAGTTGCTCAACATTCATTACGCTGTCGCAGCTTCCATTTTCTATGAGAAGTTTGACGTTAATAATGTTAATACTGCGCTTCAACACCTATCACTGAGGTCTTTAAACGCGTAAGGTTATTATGAGAGATGGAAGTTAGACCTCTGTGTCGCGACAATGATCCGACAACCTTTTAATTGAACCACGGGTAAATAAACAAATGGATACCATATCCATAGTGAATTTACGTGTGAAACAAGAGAAAAATGGAGAAAAAAGGCATTAAAGCATAATATATATATACACCAAGTAAAACGTCAAGCTAAAGTGAACCAAAATATTTATCCTGAAAAAAAAAAAGATACGCAGTTGAAATATACCATTCGGCAAATTTTACCCAATGTATACACAAAATAATCAGGATATATTATTCTCTTTGGCGAGTAATGTTTTAATGGGAACGGCGTATGACAGCCAAATATGCGGAACCGTGTTTGATATAACATATAAGCCAGCGACTGTTATAGAGAAATGGATGTTCGCTACTCATGTTTGTTGTTCCCTTGCTTACTGACCTAAGTGCAAACTGGTCCCCTATTGTCTGTATATTTATAAAACAAGTTGGTAGGAACAAAACTCTTCTTTCTTATTGACTAATTCGTTCATAAAGGTGCAACAAGATCACAAAATTATAAATAGTGTAAGTGAATGAAAATTAATACTTTTTATAAACATTTTCGGCCAATGTAAACACAAATAAAACAGTTTATATCGTTTTAAAGTCTCTATAGTATGATTGAAGAGCTTAACTTCTACAAGCAAACTGGCTATACAGTATTACCTACAGGATACAGTAAATAGCATTTAACAAATATCTTGCCATATTTTAATCCGACATCCAAGTTGGAGGTTTCACCTTTAAATCGGTTATCTGGGAACAAGTTACGAGTTATGGTGACATTTCAATTAGTTTTAATGAAACAACTTTCAACACACGTCATTATTTCTCTCTTACCATTTCCATGAATAATTTGTGTTGTCATTGGTTACCGAATCAGCCAATAAGATGCTGCCTTTCATCATTACTTATACCATATTGTAAGATTCCGTCCATCTGTCACCCTACTACATCAGTCATCTCAAGAAAGGACAAAAATTACTATAAATTTTTCAGTAATTTGGTGAAAAGAATGATTACACAGTTTATATACTGCACAGTATATAAACCACAGGCGGCGGTGTGACGAGGATGGACTAGAAGTATAAAGTTTCTCCGGTGGTTCACTGTCATGGACATGTAGGAAGTGTAACGTAGCGGGTTTCACTTTGTCATCCTTGAGTGTTATTACATTTACGGACAGGAAAACGCAGCTCATAGTTTTTGAGTAAAGAACGACACTATTACACGGGTTGTTATACTAGTCCAAACTCATAACATCATTTACCCTGCAGTTAAGACTACCACTTATGGATCTATCCTGTCTGATGCCAAATATCTAGTTTTAAGAATAAGTAACAGGAAAGTACCCGGTAACATAGATCACAGGGTGTCTCAGAAGGCAAAGGCGACACTGGTACCCTATGTAGTCCTCTTCGTAGAACCTTTTATCAGCATGACAATGTTAAAAAAAAGTTATACGATAATCATGGATGTATGCTATATAGTTGACTTGTAAGTAGAAGGACCTAACGTTATTACACCGACGACAAGTCGCAAGTATAGTGCTTTGAGTAAACGTTACTAGCTGGGGGTAACCAATTTCTTTTTGGGATGGAGATTGTGTGTGTGTGTGTGTGTGTTTTAATTTTACTACATACAGCAGCTAGTTTATTGTACACCCCATACCCCCTCCTGTGATCGCTTGCGCCAAAGAATTACAGAGTAAAGGTCACAAAGGGGTGTTTATAGCTACGATGGCAGTGGATGTTACAGAGTATTTCATATACTGTGTACGAGCGGTGGTTCTCTCTACTTAACTCTGCCGACCTTATCTTTTTCTTACTTCTCTTGTCTTAGTTCTTTCAATTGTTCTTTCTACTTACTTCAGTTCAAAGGTTATTACATAACCTCAGTTCTTTTTGGTATTATGTCGAGGGTCTAGGTACATGGGTATTGTAATACTGATATCAAGTCACTTGGACGAAAATAAAGGTGAAATACTGTGGGGAAAAATGACTACTCCTAAAATACTCTAAGAACAGGTTTATTAATATGAAATCAAAGGGAAAAATATATATTATTAACATATAACTCCAAGGGGCAACTCCTCGGCTTACTCAACTGCAAACTCAGTATTTTCTTATTTTTACTCAACAGCAATTTACTCAGATATTATACTCTTACTGCACACAACCTTACTGGTGTTACATTACATTACATATAGTTACATGACAACTCTTGACTTTACTGAACTGCCACTCCAAGTGGGTACTTCAACTTCACCCACATCTTCTAGTGGTACATGGCATTACCGTACAGTTACAAGACAAACTTACTTATGATACTATACAGACTGTTGGTAGTGCATAGGAGATGCACTCACACACAACACGTTAATACTGAAACCAACAAATACATGGGTCCACTACCCAACATGGGATAATTATTAACAAACACATACAACAACACTGTGGACCATATAACTCCAAAGCATGTCCCAGGGCATAGCACTGGCGCCTCTAACAACTGACGACTACTGTTGTGGTCGGTGGAAGCCAGACACATGGCGAGTCTGGTGTCTGAGGCCCACGAGACGGACCTGCCGTCTCAATCATGTCGAATCACCGACATCGGCCATATATTGATCCCTGCTGGTTACCCACCGGCTCAGCAGCCGATGGGGTGTTGATAGGAGGACACCCTGGAATATGTAGGACAACGAAGTTGGAGAGCGTCACGGAGGACCATGGACAACACCATCACAACAAATCTTTCGTCTCGCAATGTCAGGCGACATTTACTTTATATTACTTCTTACACTGGGTGAATGACAATTCAACTATTAAAGCATGAACACTGATAATTCACTACAAAGACTGAATCAAACTGAATGGCTATAAAACACTGCTACATACCTG